AGTTACAAGGACGAGGAGTACGATGACGGCAGTGATTTATCACTTCACTTACATAGTACACCTATAGCATCTAGGCTTTTTAGTGATTTATCATGTCAACGACGAATAGACTTTTCAGGAAATGAATCTAGGCTTTTCAGTGTCCATTGAAATAGGCTCTTCAGTGAAACTAATTAGGCTTCTTGTGACCAGTTATAACACATTGAAATGGCAACTAAACCTGCCTCTGCCTATATATACGTAATGTTGGATGCATTGCTACCTACTTCCCAACTAGTATTTTCTTTCATTGATGTACCAATGTCTGGAGGGTCGTCCAGAGGGAGAGGAAAGGGGAAGGGAACTACCATTGTGTGGGAGGGTTCTCTTGGTCCTGATTTCTTTGAGGAAGCTCTTTATGAGAGGTTCCTAGTTGAGAGCAAAAGTGATTTCACCAAAGAGGCACCACTGAGAGGATACGATGAACAGAAAGAAGAGTGGCCAAAATGCATGCATGGTGAGGACTACCTAGTGCAGATGTTCACCGAGGGAATAGATGGAGGTCGTCGTTTCTTCAAATACCCGTGAGCATAGGTAATTGCTATTACTATTTGTTTCTTCAATATGTTCCTCTTCTATACAACTTACATGACATACTTATTACAGTCTTCCTTAGCCAAAGAAAATTGTGGGTTCACTAGGTGGGTCGATCCTCGACCTATTTATCCTCATGCGGAGTACATCTACTATCTGCAGGACCGTATCTTCAATCTAGAAAGGGAAGTTAGCAGCGGTTACAAGGACGACGTACAGGACGACAACAACAATAGTGCAAGTTCACAGGAGGCACTCTGCAATGATCCATATTGCACCTGCCTTAATCACAAGAACAAGGGGCCTCCACCGTCACCCCCGCCACCACCAACAACAATAATGGGAGGCTACTGTGGAGAAGGTGCAACATAATTTGCTATGTGGCCCCACTACTAGGACGATCCTATCTTATTCACATGGCACATCCATGTGTTTGTTGTTTGGTTTAATTACCTAAGGCATGTTAGGTTTAGTCGAATGAACTATGTACCCTTGTTTGGTACATGTTCTCATATGCCATTTCATGTGCTTGTTGTTCGCTTCAATTATCTAAGCCATGTTAGGTTTAGTTCAGGACCTCTATACCCTAGTTCGGTACATGTTCTCACATGCCATTTCATGTGTTTTGTGTGTTGAATTATGTAATGCCCTACTTCGTTAGGTTTTGTTTGCAGCACGTGATCACATTTCACTACGTCCGCAATATTAAACTGAATATTATGACCACAAATAATGAAAACAACTACATAATAAAAAGTCCAATATTATGACACATTAAACAACACAATGATACTAGAACTACGTGCCGACAAACTAAATAACGCAGTACATGTCCTAAGCATGCCCATACTTAAAGTGCATTACATGACAACACAATGAAAAGTCCAATAGTAGACAACATTGTTCATGAATAAACCATAGAAGTAGCAAGTAATGAAGACTAGGGCATCGGGATTCTCCTCCATCGCTGCTTTCGCTCGGCGTGCACGCTTAAGCTTCTTCTCCCTCTCCTCCCTGTACGCAGCAACATGCCTCCTTTCCTCCTCTTTCTTGTGCTCCTTTTTGTAGCCTCCTCTCCGTGTCTCTTCTCCATCATCTTCTTGTCCTCTGCCTCACACCGCAATAGTTTCTGCATCCATTCCTTGTCTTCAGGCTTGATCTCAGTGTCGATCCACTACTCAAAATCACAGAGCAGTACGGGTCTGCAAAAAATGCAATTGTTATAAAACAAAAAAAACATGCAAGATGTCATATGACACAAACATCAATTCATCACCATCTTGTTAATGCGGCGTTGACGAAGTGTAGGCTCAAACGCAAAATTGGAATACATCCAATACCTCTGCCTATACGTGTCCTCTTCATCGGACTTAGCTACCTTGCAAGGATAGCCGTAAAAGCACATGGGCACTGGAACACCACTAGGCAGAGACAATGGGTCGAAGGCATTTTCGGTCATCCGGCCATAACTACAATTTAGCCATTTTTGTTCTAAGAACCGAAAGCAATTAACATTAAACCCTACACCTAGGGTTTCCCATTTGATCCACAACAATGAACCCATATCATAACAATGTGCGTTGAGGTTACCTTGGTTTGGTAGCTTTTCCACTCCTTGACATCCTACGGTTGTATAATATAAATATTAAAATTGCATGAAACCGTAAGTAATGACGATTCTTAAGTTGAAAAATCCGACTAATATATACCGAATCGATTTGAAAAAAAACTAGGATGGAGCGAGGATACCTTGCTCTCGAAGATCTACGGATCAAATCAAAGTTTTCAAGGTCCAATATGTCGATTCGTGAGGTAGGGCGAAGTGGGAGAGAAAAACCCCGAGAGGGAGGAGAAAGAAGAGGAAAAAGACTCGGGCAGGAAGGTTGGGGGCGGGGTTAAAACACCACCTCAGCGCCATAGATCTTGACGCCGTTCTCTGCCCCAATAACCACGGCGCCAAGATCTACGGCGCCAAGCTGCCTGCCAAGTCATCGTCACGTCTGCGATCGAGCCCAAGACCTAAGTGTAGAATCTATGGCACCGAGACGTGTAAGCTCGGCGCCACCGACGATGACGACGAGCTAAGGGTCCAAATTTTGAAATTATACCTCCAGAGGTATATTTGTGAAAAAATTAAAAAAAAGGGCTAAAAAACAAAAAAAAAATCGGACAGACGTTATATGAACTTTGGACAGTAGTGGGTGAGAGAGAAAAAGAACTAATGCGATGGTATAAATGTCATCGGAACTTTTTCAGTGGTGAGAATTTTGGCAACATTCAAAAGCACACAGAGAATTGACGATCCAAGTATAGCGGACGAGTTATTAGCTCGGTTGGCAGCTAACGTAGCGGGAAGCTCCAGGTTGGGAGTCGACTCCCCACCTTGCATGTGCAGGTTTACGCGTTGTAAAAAAAAATCTTTCCGTCTATCCCACGCTAAAACATAGGTCTAATGTCCGGTCCTGGTCTAGTATCACAGGTGCCACTGTGTATGAATGAGGTAGGGATTTGGGGGTTTTCAGTTCTAATGTCCGGCTCAGTTTTATATGGGCTATGGTGCCGATGTGTATAGATGAGGCAGGGATTAAGGATTTTTTCGATCTGTGTGAGAAAGTCTTCTTAGGGGAAAAAAAATCTCGGAGACGTCATCCCCATGGGTCGCCTTCTTTTAATCCAAGAATAAGAAATTCATATCTATTACACTAAAAAATAACTAATGTCATCGTCGGACGCCCCGCTAATCACTCCGTCACCGATCGCTCATGTGTACAAAGCCATCTCCAATGAAAAAAGGAAATCAAATCGAAAAGAAAAAGGAAAGCAAATAAAAAAAAGGAAAAATAGCCAGAGGTAGACCCACGGTCCAAAAAAAAAGGAAACTACCATGCCTACAATCCCAAAAAAAAAAAAACTACCATGCCTCCGATACGTCGCACCGGGCCGCATGCAAAACCATGCATAACAGACCGGGCCGGGCGGGTATGCTCTTGTTCACTAATTAATTATTAAGGCCCCGTTTGGCAGGCTTCACTTCACTAGTGAAACTATTTTTTTTTTATTTTTTGCTTCGGCTCCACGAATAGTTCCACCGGTGGAGCTGAAGTAGTTTTGATAAACCGTTTGGCAAAATGGCTTCCCTGTGAGAGCATGTTTTTAGGGGCCTGGAGGAGGAGCCGGAAGAAGCCACTTTTTTTTTTGCTCCATCCCACCCCAAATCATTATGAGAGCATGTTTTTAGGGGCTTCACCAGTGAAGCTATTTCACTTTACCCCGTTTGGCAGAAAACGGCTCCTAAAGTTGATGGAGAAGCCCTACCAAATGGGGCCTAATTCTAGTCTGTATGTGATAATTTTAGAGGTCAAAGTGGTGTCAAAAATTTTCCGCTCCTGACTCTGAATTTTGTAGATATCAAGAACACTTTTAATATGTATACGGATATGAATAATCTGAATCCAATTGTGAGCGGATACGGGATAAGATATAGAACTGGCAAAATTAAGTGGATATAGATTCTCCGAAGTCTAGAATAGGATATCCAAAAATTTCTTCCTAAACTAGCGATTTTTGAACAAAAACCCTATCAAGTGTTAATGGTGTCGTTGGCCGTAGGCGTGACAAAATTTGAGGGCTCCTGTGCATAGCAAGAGCATATATCTCTACAGCTAAAAAATACATAGCGTGATCGCCATTGTCGCCCCGCCCCGCTTGACCCACTCGTGCAGATGCTCGTCACCCCACTCACTCCGGATCATCCACACGCAAAATCAAGACTCCCGCTCAATCACGTCCTTCATCAATTCTTGTACAAAGTGTGCTATCATGCCCCCGACAATTTGTGGTCGCCATCATCTGCAAATCCAACTAAACCCTTGCCAAGAAGACCAAGCAGGATCGGCACTGCCGCAGCTTAGCATCCCCAATTCTGTGGACCTCCCTCATATGTGACAGTAGGATCCCGTCTTTATTTGAAAATAGTTTAGGGTTCCAAATGTAAAATCGCTTATTAACTTTTAATATTTTTTAAATGATCAACTCCGTCTCTATAAACGTGGGGAAAAAATTATGCTGCCGTTCAATGCATGAGCATGATTCTAGTACACAATAAAATTCAGGGCTCTTTCAAGGTGATGTAACTTCTATTCCATCGGTCACGGTTTGATGCAGCCTTTTCTTGGAAAACTATTTACAATGCAAGTTTCGAGGTGTGTCCTTCAGGAGGCAGGGAGTACAACCACCTGTACAGGCGCTCTCTCTCTCTCTCTCTCTCTCTCTCGCGCGCGCACACACACTCTCTCTCTCTCCAGTTTGTGCACTAATCGCTGCTAATAGCCTAATACCAGTATATCACCCACTCTGCAGAATATCTATTACACAACATGTATATAATATCTGACCCTAACCCCTGTTTGACACTAAAGAAACTTGAGCTACATATTGTCCACGTAGTTCTGCAACCTCTGCCCGATGAGATAGCGCTCATCCCTGATAGAATCATGGAGTCTGACAACAAACCTGGAGAGTACCTTAGCTAGATAACAGAGCGCACACATGGCAAGGCTTCCAAGCCATGCAAAACGAAGCACTACAGAGTTCACGTCAGCGGAGTAGCCGAATCTTGGTGCCACGCCTTTTGCAAGCACGTAAGGAACACAGAGAGCAGACAGTAGCTTGACAGTGATTGGCATCAAAACATCTCGCAAGACCCACAATGCCCTGAGCCCTGAAAACCCATCCTCCCTTGCCTGAGTTAGCTTCCGATCCCACCTTTCGTCGATGAAACAGGCCAGGAAAGGTGCGACCCTTGTCCAACCAACCTTCAGATCAGAAACAATAAAACCAAAGTAGTTGCATCGCTCATTAGTGAACCTGGCTATAACCCAACCAAATAATGGTAATAATAGTATGTAAATTAGCTACAAGCTACCGTAAAGGTGGTCAGGAACCAGTTTTGCTGATCCAACTGTTTCAAACTAACAAGGTCAGGAAAGCAACAAAGAAAAGTTGCAGCTCACCAACTTAGTCCAGAATTTCAGCAATTGCGACCCCAAGAACCAAGTGCAGAAGAAATCGAAAACTGGAACTTCATCAGCGGGCACCACAAAGGGTAATATCAGTAGACAATCAACCAGCAATCCGATTAGAAAGGGAATGACGACAACCTGACAACATATAGAAAGTCACTGAGCTGAATCAACCAGAAAGCAGAAAAACTAATAATGAAACCACCTCAGATAACTCACCCATAGGAACAAAAGCGGAGAACTCTTCAAAGCAGTTATACCCCGACTGCAGATTATAGACGACAGAAGGCGTGTTCTCCCAGAGGTCACATAAGCAAAGACATCTCTAGAGGCAGCAATAATTGTCGACAAGACGCAGAATCCGACAGCAAAAGCAAAAATATCTGAAGGAAAAAATGCACAAGTAAAGCCCAAACAATCTAACATATGAACTTAATCCACAATGTAGATCTACTGAGCTTTGGTGAATAATCATTACCATTGGACTTCAAAGCACCTGCTACTGGCAATTGAGGGATGGCAAACAACAATGCACGTCCAGCTGAGACTGGAGCAACAAGTAGAGCAGCAATGAACATGACAACAGTAAGCCACGCTGGCACCACGAGTAGTGCCAATCGAACAGCAAGAGATCTCCTGGTACATTGTGCCAAAAAAAGGGGGTAAATGTCCAGAACAAACTCTGTGCCCGACTCCTCTTGATATGTAACATTTGTTGATTAAATAAAGCGAATGAGGAGAACAAATAAACAGGAGATTAGGAGAAAATTGCAGATCAACTGACTAACAAACTAAGACAGAGCATGACTAGGAGCCAAACTGATGGCCTTCTCTGTGCACCTGTGCACTGTGTGCCTTTGTAAATCTTGTGTAAAAAAGAAATCATGATGTGGGCCGTTTTGGGCCATTAATAAGAATCAGGTGGGGAACTTCTCCCCCCACCCCTCCCCCGGTTGCCCCTCAAAAAAAAATGATGACCTTGTGCAACTCTATCTGACATGTCTAAGACTGACAAAAAAAGGCTGACACAACACTATGTCAAAGACCCACATAGGATTAACTAATACTTTAAACGGGAATTTTCTAATCTCCAGATCAAAAGAGGCCTTCAGGGCATTGAATGACTATCAAAGAGCAAATATATTCAAGATGATGTGGTGCTCTGCTCACTTGTGTTTCCTTGTACACTAGGTTTAGTATAGTAAGATTGAGATTGCCAAATGAAATCCAAATAAAATTATGACACGACTATTTGCAACATGGGAATGGAAAGTTCTTTTCATAAAAATGTTGCAAATTAGGTACCTTCCTTTCAACCGAATAGACACCTTTATTGTTCAAAATCACACATATGACTAATCCAGCTCTAACATGAATACTAATTCAATTCAAACAGATGGAGTACCTTTTATCCTTAGCCTCAGCAGGCCTACCATACTGATCTTTTGGTGTGACACTATTCCCAGCTTCAGATTCACCAGCACCATCAGGTTGGGCAGTCAATAAATCAGACAAACCAAGAGCCTGTCCGGTACTGGCAAACCAATACCGCAGTACCTTCTTCACAAGCAGAATAGGCTCAAGGTATTCGAGTGCATTGCAGATTAGAAACTTCAGAAGAAGAAAACCAGATAGTAACTCTGCATAGTTTCGTGTTGGTTGCCAAAGTACCGTGCCCGTTGGAGGATCAAAGTAGCTGCAAGTTGCAAACATGAATTAAGATAAATAAGCAAATGACATGAGATGACAAAGGCTGGCAAATACCTCGTGCCACGATGAAAAACTAGCATAAAGAACTTACGTGATGTCTAGCGGGAACATGGTAGGTACCAAACGGAAAGCAATTTCAACAGGGACAAGAATGACCATCGCAACATAGATAAGGCTGAGAAAAAGACCGGGAACAATCTTGAAAAAGAACTTGCAGAATGGTTCCCCAATCTTGATTTTGCCTCCAGTAGTGTGGACAAAAGGGGTACCTAGCCTCAATGCCTAGTGACATGCATAACACACACATAGTGCTGGTCAGTTTCTGAGACAAGAAAACAACACACATACTCAAATGCTGAACGAAGAGCTATAGTACGACATACCGGGCGAAGAAGACTGGGAAGTAATGAGTGCAGCAGCAAACAGATACATCCAATAAGCCAGTGAAGAGCAGTAGAAGCAAATGATGAAGCAAATAGAAGTTGGAGCTTCTGGGGTATTTCCACACCAAACAATTTTGAAGTGTAGATATCAAGCGACCAGCCAAAGAGCAAAGGCCATATTACAAGAATCACTGTGAGATTAAGAGAAATATTTGCTAAACTTATGATCCCCCTGAAGAAGTGCTGCAAGAAAGTGCCTGTCCTACCGAGCATTACATGTATGCTAGGCAGCATCTTAAGAGGGCTAAATAGCCAGCACACCAAGTCGGTTAAGGCATCGAAATAAACTGTGATGGTAAGTTGCTCGTCCCTAGAGTATTGCTGGAAAGTATGCAAGGCAGTAGAGAGCAGAGCCGCCACAAGGATAAGCCCATATCCAACTAAAAGCACTGATGTTGTTGAAGTGGAGGAGTGTGTTATATCCAGAGTGCCAGAGGTGAAACACGACATGCAGCATAATAGTATCCTTCCCAGTGAGAAGGGGAGAAACCCAAGCAGAAAAGCAAATGCCACATCACCTATTACCACCTGATAATGAGTTAGCAGACAGAGACATTATTGTCAGAAGAGAGATTAATTAAATTAAATTAAATTGCATTTTCTGGAAGGAAAACAAGTAGGAGTAATAGTAGTGAATACTAGGTGACAAATAGATCCAAACCATACCATCAGGGCTGCTTCGACGGTGTGTAGCGCAAGGACCTGCAAAGTATCCAAGCCTCCAAAGCGGTGCTGCAGGTGAGCTTCGAGGCGCGCCACCCAGAGCGCAAGGGGAGCAAGGGCATCAGCAGCGACTCTGGCAGGGGCGTTGAGCTGCCTAAGGTTGGGGAGCTCTCTGAGGAAGGCTCTTCTGATGGAGACGCAGGCAAGGACAGTGTCCGTCGAGGGCATAAACCTCATGGCGTAGGGCCTGAAGAAGGCGGAGGTGCGGAGGGAGAGGAGGCGGCGCACTTGTGCGGAGGTCCTGGAGAGGGCGAGGCGCCAGACCCAGAGGGTGGTGAGCGGCATGATGAACTCCCAGACGCAGATGGCGAAGAGGAGGGAGAGGAGCAGGAGCAGCCAGGACATGAGCTTGTTGGCGAGGCCAAGCATGAACTCGGGGAGGGGCAGCCTGATGGGAGCGTTTGCGGCGTAGATGGGGGCGATGGAGATGGGGCGCTTGCACACCTGAAAGACATTGGATTGGATTGTTCATCGATCGATTCATTCAACCCCATCGCAAGCAATATCGAAGTGAACCGAAGCAGAAGCAGAAGCAGCAGCAGCATCAGGCGCCTAAAACCCCCACAATCGAGGCGGCGATTCGAAGGGTGATGTAACTAATTGCACGCGCCGACGATGAGCAACACAACGTCACCTCGCATCTGGGTGATGACGATGCCGAGCTGAAGCCACGTCGCGAGGACAGCCATCGGAGCAGGCAGTCGTCGTGGACGAACCTGATGCTTCCGCGGCAGGCGCAGGGGTGGCGCAGGGGCCGGCCCGCCTCTGCCGGGAGGTGGCAGATGCGGCACGCGTCCTCGTCGTCGCCTTCCGCTTCGCCGGGCAGGAGAGGGGCGATCGCCGCGTCGGCCATGGTGAGCCAGCCGTACCGTTCCCCACTCCGGTATCGGCCTCGGGAAAGGAAGCACCTACCTCTGCCAGTCTGCCTTGCCTCTCTGCCTCTGCCTCATGGACAGGACATGGAGGGAGCGGGCCGTGGGCCTTGGGCCGTGAGCCTGCTAGCCTGCCCCTCTCGGTCATTCCTTTTTTTCCTGGTTTCTTGTTTTCCAAGAAAGAAATAAAACTGACTGTTTTCCTTTTTCCCAGGGAAAAAAAATTTGAACGTCAACAGTGAATCAATTTTCAAGTTGATGCACTTTGAGATACTTCATTCGCTGTGGATTTGTCACTGCACCAGCACTGAATCATGGGTTACCAATTATTTAGAGGACCCGATCTCATCTGATTGATGATGATACCAAAATTCAAACACCCACATTCCATATTTTCTAAAATATAAACACAGTACACACAACACAAACAGTTCCCCTAAATCACATTCAAGTTGTTTAGCCCCCAATGGACACTCGATTTTTTTATACCAATCAATCAGCTCATTGTGGACAGATATTTTCCAATATATCTGTCAGTTCCCAGAAGAGGGTTAAAATCCTGCTTGGATAATCCGTATGTAAATCCAAACATTTAATATCCCGTACTATGACCCCGATCGGCTTACCTTATAATCCGCACTATTCAACTTGTTTTTTTTAGCCGAAACAGTGTTTTTTTCCCACAACAATTCAGTTAGAACAGTGTTTTTCAGTCAATTCAGTCAAGTTTCAGCAAGACGAACGGGGCCTATATCAATATCAAATACTTAAAGTTGGATTTCTTATACATCTATCCGTATCATATCCATATCCAAATACTTAGAGTTGGATTCTTTCTTATACATATATGACAGATATCAATATCCGTGTTCGACTCTAAATCCTATAAAAAAAATGGCTACCCGTACCTTAATATCCATTCATGTCTGATCCGGTTTCAGCCAAGTGCGGGCACTAGAAGGGAGGAGATGAGATAGATAGCGATTTAATCTAAGCCCTCAGTTTTAGATCTAAGGCCAAAAAAAAAGGTGTCAATAGACTTTGAAATACCCGATTGTTCACTGGACAGCTTCCAACACAAAGCCAGGGAGTGTCGGAAGATAATATTATACGAATATATATATTAGAAAAAGAACTTCCTACTAGTATCATCGTCATCAAATTAATCAATATTCCAGGCAACCGAAACACCATCCATCCATTGTGGTGTCTCCTATACTGTATTTACATGAGGGAGACTCAATCAGGCCTAGCCTAAGCCTACTCTAATCTCATACTAGTACTAGTACTACTATTTTCTCGGTGGTTGGGCCTACCTCTATCTTCTTCCAGCCCCCCAGTGAAGGATGAGCATGTTCCACACAAAATCATAAATGCACCGCAATCATTATACTTGAGTTCCCCTTCCCCTTCCCAGCAATTAAACTTTCCAATCAAAAGATCGTCCCAACAGAATCAAGCCTGCCATTACTTGTTCTGCTTCACCTTGCTCACCTTATCCTGCAATGCAAGCCCAAGATGTGGTGTTCTTCATGCCATTTATAGAGCAAATCAACCAATGCATCTTTGCTTCCCATCAGCTCCCATCCCTTCCAACGTATCTTGCTATATCAGCTTTATGTCAGCCTTGCCTATTGTACACACACCAAGAGAAGCAACCATCAGGGAAGAATACATACAGCCTTCATTGCTAGAATGTGCTTCTGTCGCAATATAATCACTAAGGCTGTGGTCTTACCCCTCTGTACAAATGAACAAGTGAACTTAGGTGCTCTTCATTTACATGTACGGGCAAGGAAGGCATCTGATCCATGATACCTAGTGTCTCCCTCATTCTGTAACGAAAAGATTTACAGAAGTTACCTCACTTGGAGAAACGAAAAAAAAAATGCTTTCACTTTGACAAGGACCAAAGAGGCATCATGGCAGCGTTCATGTTCATATTAATTACATAGAGACATGACTACAACAAACTTGAATATTAGTCGATGATGCTCGAGAGAAAAAAATTAGTCGATGATCAGAACTCAACCATATATGAAGCCTGTGCTTAGTCTATGTGTAAAGCTGAACGAACAAGTAATATCGTACCTTTCTGAAATTGCTCTTATATTGTTATTTGTGCGCAGGAATAGGTCCACGTTCTCCTCCGTCTGTAAGAAATTTGGAATTTCAAAACAAGGTTAAAACGAAATAAGCTTCTTTTCTTTTAGAAGTGCTGCTACAACTCAAGCTTTCATGCGTAGCTTTCAAGTTCAAACTACTATGTCTGTTTCGCAGCCATTTTTTATTTCCATGTTTCATCTGTTGACCAACAGATGGTGGGTGTACCCCTAGCAGCAGTGCCTAGCGTGCTCCTCTTGCAGTAAGTATGATGCACTAACATATTTAGGATCATAAATAATAGACATTAGATAAAGTATATCAGTATTCCAACCTTAAGGGTCCTGATATTTGCAGCAATCTGGCTGAGTAGCTGATTATTTTCCTCCAGAAGCTGAGTTGCACTATCTAAAACAGGGACTCTCTCAGAACGGGGAAAGAGGAGCATCGTCAGGACCAAAAAAAAAACAATCAGCACAAAATAGTTCCATGAAAACACATCAACAAGACAGAATTTTCAGTTATTTGTCTAACATGTATGTTACTATATTGAATTACAGTTAGTGCAACATAAGTACTAGTACATAGTGCAACAGCACTGTTCAAAGGAACTGTTACAACCTCATGCATTGTCCGTATGAGACGCATTGGAACAAGCTAGTTGAAAGTTTGAGAGAATATCAGTAGTCTTGTTGTGAGTAGGAGTTATTTCATGTATTTCAGTATTTTAGATAAGTTTCATCTGTTACAGATAAATGAATTGTGTCTTCTAGAATTAAAAGGAATGTCTTATAAAAACAGAATGCATCCGTTGCTTCTCTCCCAAAGACTATTTCCTCAATTCAATACCTTTCTTTGATTCGTAACAGCAATTAAGGACAATACGTGGAGAGAATTATTAACCAGCCCTAACTGAGGCTAGATGTGGTCATGTGGATGCTATAGCTATACTAACCCTACAGTTAAAAACTCCTTAGAAGTTGAACTATACAATTGAATTTGAAACATGTCACACGGAGCAAATGGTTTAGCACATTCAAAGGAACAAATCCTCTATTGATGGACCAACCTTCCATGGGGACCAAGCTATTTTGACTTGGATGATGCAGTGATATTGAAAATGGGAACACATTGTTTGGAGGCAGCATCGGAATATTAGTTACCGAGGTAGATGCAGCCATTTTATTCTGCACCGATGCAGCAGGAATGTAATCATCAGAAAATGAGTAGAGGAGCTGCTGTATAAGCTCTAAAGCTACTGGAGTATGTATCCAAATGAATCATTCGATGACACTTAAGACAAGAATACCTTCGAGTATGTCATGTTTGTCCCTGCAGGATATCCATCAGGTTTCCTCCTACTACTTTCTTTGCCCTGAAATGGCAATAGTGCCCCGAAAGAAACAGGCAAGCTATGAGTAATATAAGAAGTAATGACAAACTAGAGATGGGTCCAGAGCTACTAGTGAAGATGAAAACCTAGAGACAAGAGGATTGTTTGTTCCAGCTAGTAAACCACAATAAGAAGCAAGCTTTCCACAAATTAGCAGAGACTTGAAGTCTTGAGTGTAAGACCGCTAGTAGGGCTATTCATTTGTAATTGAAGACCATAAAGCCCAAGTCCCTTGCACACAAGGAAAAGGAGCAAAAACAAATGATGGGTTCAGAAAGGTATGGTGCTGTAATTGAAGCAAGAGACCGCCCTCATTCAGTTGGGGGTAAGAAAAATAGGATGTAAGCCTACAAGGTGCCAGGGTGTGTGAAGAGATGAGGACTAAGCCCCATGGCTATCCATGAGATGGTGGTATGGCGGCTGGTGGATGCATGACAAAAAAGTGTGAAAAAAGAGAAACTTACAGGAGTCCAGACGCATCTTAGTGCAACATCCCTAATGGTTTTAGTGGGCAGCATAGCAGCAATCTTGACGTACTTCATAATACTAGGTTCATGGGCGTACCTGGCAAGGAGTATAGTATGTTTAGGGTGAGATGCGGCTAATATTATCCTATCGAACAGGAGACAAACATGATGATAAAACTGAAAAACAAGAGAACCCAGCAGGCCAGCTTAATCTGACTAAAACAAAGGTGCAATGGATATGCTAGATTCCACTGAGGCCTAGTACCATTTCATTTGATTTGATTGAAGGGGCGCAATTTGATTCATTATGGAGGCCGCAAGCGAATGGCAAGAGAATGCAATAATAAGTAAGCGCAGACAGGGTGTTTAAGTTGACCTGATGAGGCCCTGATTCAACGTTGCGATCTCATCGGCGGACCAATCGGCAGGCGAACCAGTGACGAACTTGTACTTTGGAGGGGATGGAAGTGAGGAAGGGTTGGGGACAGGGGGAGGGGGCAAGAGGGTGGCAGTGCTGGTGCTCGCAGGCGCAGGAGGAGGTGGTGGTGGTGGTCTAGGCATGAAGGTGGGATTGGGATCAGGACCGGAGGAGTGAGAGTTGGAGCTCCCCATGAAGCAGAGCATGTGGTGGTGGGGATCGGTGGTGGTGGTGGTGGTGGTGGTGCCCTCCCCCTTGGTCCTGAAGCGGGTAGAAGGGCATGGCCATGCCGGAGTCGGCGGCGGCGGCCATGTCCCAAAACATTTATCTCCCTCCCTCAACAACCGAGACAAGGGGGTGAGGAAGAAGGAGAATTGGGAGGGAGGAAGGAATCCCTGTCAGGCAACCCCCATTTCCATGCACCCGACCCTGAAATCTGCTCTTGCTAGGGATGGTAGGGTTTGAGGCTACGGAGGCGACGAAAGAAACGGGCAAGCGGCGGCCGCGGCGGCGGCGACCCGTGACCCGTCCTTGCGGGCTCCGGCTCCGGCTCCGGCTCCGGCTCCGGGGTTGTGGGCGTGAGTAGGATGGATTGGATTGGATGGGCCTGACTCGTGAAGTTGTGAGTGAAGGAGGGGAGGGCGGGCAAGCACAGGCAGCGAGAGGGAGAGAGGGAGCTTTGCCTTTGCCAGAATCTCAGGCGGTCGTCCAACTCTCAAAAGTGAGCTTTGCCTTTGCCAGACTAGTTTGCTATTACCAAACCAAATTAACACATTTTAGAAGTTTAATACTTTGATTGGCACTTTTCCTCCCCCTCAGTCGCCTAAACTTTCAGACGATCCATCTCACTGTTCAGAGAACCTGCTAGTAGCGGTCACTATATTTATCACACGAGAGAATACTACTAATAGTTATCATTGTTGGCTGAAAAACTATTATATTTCAGACATATGAAATATAGCAAATCTCTTTGATTGGTGATTGATTGATGAATATTTGTGAACGAGTGATTTCGCCACTTTACCCCTAGCACTTGACTTACCCATTTGAACCTAGGAACATATGCCTTTGTTTCTTCTGTGTTTCTTCTCCTGTTCTCCTTGCGTGACTTGCTGCGAACTGGCGCCGTCCCATATCAGGCCCTCTATCCTCGATGATCCTTCACCACCCCCGTTGTCACCTCCCTTGAACCCACTGTATCGCTGTGAGTTGGTGTCGCCCGCTTAAGTGGTCCGCCACTTTGTTGTGTACATGACAAATGTTAAATAATTAGGCAATTTTTAGATTAATACCAGAATATAAATCATGAAAATCTCATAAATTAGCATGTAGAGCCATAACATACTAGTTAGATTGGATAGTGTTAACAACGACATAACGAAGATCATCGTGATCAACACAGCAGGCAAACGACAACAATAGATTGGATCACTTGGTGTGTACCTTTCGTTTGCAAGATGGATTTCTTATGTGGAATACTAATGGATAGGGCCTCTTTGCTAAGTGCTACAAGATCTAGTGCACTGGAACTCGTGGTTATGGACCCGAATCCTTTAGTATGGAACATTGTCTTTTTCAAGTAAAAAACCCTAGTATATGAAAGAATGAAAATGTGCTTTCGTTCTTGTGGAATAAGAAGCCCTCGTACCTTAATAAAAGGAAAATAGGAACTTTTTGTTAGGTATTTGACCAAATAGGATCGTCCAGTTCATATAGAAACTATCGCTAAAATACCCGATAGGGCTAAGCGGAACGAAAAGGGTTTTCCATGAGATGGTAAATGCTTAAACCCTCTATGTCGCTGTGAGTTGGTGTCGCCCGCTTAAGTGGTCCGCCACTTTGTTGTGCCCACGACAAATGTTGAATAATTAGGTAATTTTTAGATTAATACCAGAATATAAATCATGAAAATCTCATAAATTAGCATGTAGACCTTAACATACTAGTTAGATTGGATAGCATTAACAACAACATAACGAAGATCATCATGATTAACACAGCAGGCAAACGACAACAATAGATTGGATCACTTGGCGTGTACCTTTCGTTTATAAGGGAAGACGGTGTTGCTAGTGGTGGAGATGTAGAGGGAGACGCTAGTGATGGTGCAAAGTTGTTGATGAGCGATGGAGAAAGAGCTTGGAGCAGCTGACGACGAATACACCGAGACGTAGTGTCTCCTATCTTGAATGGAAGGGAGCAGTCGCGCGAAGAGCACTTCCCAAAAAGCTTATTCGCCCTTCGGTGACCTACTCTCCCGATCACCATTGCGCACCTGCAAGGTGAGGAGCCGGATTTTGGTGAAACATTCATGTAGGTGCCCCACACCCGCGTCCTTCGCACGGTCCAGCCCGAGCCAATGAGTGAGTGCGCGCATGAAAGCTCTAGTTTGGTTTTGGTGAATTGATGAAACCCTAAGTGCTAACCTAGTTCATCAAAGTGGTCATGAGATAGGTAGCATTATTCCAAGTGGTGAAGCAATGGTAAAGATCATGATGATGGTGATGTCATGGTGATGATCAAGTGCTTGGACTTAGAAAAGAAGAAAGAGAAAAACAAAAAGCTCAAGGCAAAGGTAAAATTGATAGGAGCTTTTTGGTTTAGTGATCGAGACACTTAGCGAGTGTGATCATATTTAGGATCGATAGCCGTACTATTAAGAGGGGTGAAACTCGTATTGAAATGTGGTTATCAAAGTGCCACTAGATGCTCTAACTCATTGCATATGCATTTAGGATCTAGTGGAGTGCTAACACCCTTGAAAACATTTGTGAAAATATGCTCACACATGTGCACAAGGTGATACACATGGTGGTTGGCATATTTGAACAAGGGTGGAGAAGTTGATGAAGTGAATGAGGTGATAGTCACTGAAAAACAGTGACCGGACGCCGGTCACGTGATGACCGGACTCGGGGGAGCAGCGTCCGATCATTTATAAAATCAGCGGTGTGCTTAGGCTACTTTCGGCCTAAGACTGGACGCAGGTGACCGGACTCTGGCTGAATATTGTTCAGCGTCCGATCTTACTGACATGGCAGCACGCAAAGAAGAGGAGGAGGAGCGGATGCACTAGTGCGTCCGGTCAAAAAAATGGTTCTGGTGCCTTACTAGAAATGACCGGACTCCAGTGATGGAGCGTCCGGTCACTTTGAGCAATGCGTCCGGTCGCAACTTAACACATGGCGTGAAGCAGACTAGCCGTTAAGATCGAGCGCTCAACATTTGAGGCTGATGACACATGGCGAGCATCGGGTGATCGGACACTGGGGTCCTTCGTCCGATCAACCTGACTGACATGTCCGGTTAGCCCGTGTTTCACTGGACAGAGAAGCCAACGACTCTTTTCATGGGGCTCTCTATTTAAGCCCCATGGCCGGCTCAAGCTCACTCTCTTGGCCATTTACATTGACATAGCAACCTTGTGAGCTTAGCCAAAGCCCTCCCACTCATCTCCATCATTGATTCATCATCTTTGTGAGATTGGGAGTGAATCTAAGTGCATTACGTGAGTGTTTGCATCTAGAGGCACTTGGTGTTCGTGTTTCACAGCGGGATTTGCTTGTTACTCTTGGTGGTTGCCGCCACCTAGATGTCTTAGAGCAGCAAGGATCGTTGAGCGGAGGTTGGTGATTGTCTCTGGCTCCGATCGTGGTGATTGTGAGGGGTTCTTGACCTTTTCCCAGTGGAGAGCCAAAAGGTACTCTAGTGGATTGCTCGTGGCTTGTGTGATTATCATCTTGTGTTGGTTGTGCGGCACCCTATTGAGGGTTTGGCGTGTGATGCCAATTAGCGCGTGAACCTTCAAGTGAGTGAATTGCCACAACGAGGACTAGCTTGCCGGCAAGCAAGTGAACCTCGGTAAAAAATCATTGTGTCATCATTTGATTCCAAAGTGATTGGTCTTCATTGGTGAAAGGGAATCGTGACGCCTAAGAGGGAGGGTGAATTAGGCAACTTAAAACTCTAACTCTAAACTATGACCTCTTTTTCTATTCTTAGCAAAACCTATGCAAAAAATAAACTATCTAAATGTGCAACTACGGTTTTGCTAGTGTGTTGCTATCTCTACCGCAAAAGGAATTATGCAAACGATGTAAATGCAAAAGCTAAAGAGTAATATAGAAATATGCAAACTCTCATTGATGACTCCGGTATTTTTACCGAGGTATCGAGAAGCGCGCAAGCTTCCCCCTAGTCCTTGTTGGAGCCCCTTGCAAGGGCCAAGCTCCTAGTCGGGCAACTCCATGGATAGCCCTGGCCTTCCCCACACGCAAGTGGGTCTCTAGTGTGCCTTCCGGCAAGCCTCTCCCGGACCGCTCCCCACCGTCTTCACTATCAAGCTTTCGGCCGAACCGTCGTGGGCCTTGTTCCCTTCCATACACGGTGGCGGCCACACCACAAATGCGGTTGATGTGATCTCGCAAGACTACAAGCCCCTCCGATGTACAACAATGGTGCGCGCAAGCACCGAGTGGTAAGAGGTATGTAAACCTCACTAAACACTAGGCCTAAACCTAGAGCAAGAGCATAAGCGGTGGTCTAATCAACCTAAGCACTTCGCAAAGCACCTACGCTAATCACCTAATGAATCACTAAGCACTAAGCACTATGCAAGTGGAGATCACTAAAATGGTGTATCAACACCCTTGGTATGTTTCCTCATCTCCACACTTTCCAAATTGCCGGTTGGGGGTCTATTTATAAGTCTCACTGAGAAAGTAGCCATTGGGGATGAAACCCAGCTTTCTGTTGCTGACCAGACGCTGATAACGTCCTGACCGGACGTGTCTGGTCGTCCCGACCATTGGAGCACGCGCGTTGATCGGACTCAACCAGAGTCCAGTCATCGTCGACCAGACGTGTCCGGTCGCACTGGCGCCACTCTGGAACCTCTCTAGACTCGATCGGATGCTGCACCTCATGAGTCTGGTCGTCCAGTCTGCTATGTCCGGTCACGCTGAAAGCACTGCCATGACGATGAACAGTCCCACCGGTGCATCCAATCAGTGCTCCGCTCAGCGTCCGGTCACAGCTGCCGACACCTGTTGTTGCCTGGCACTTGATCGAAGCGTCCGGTCAATGCTTCGCCCAATGTCCGGTCATAGCTACCGACGCCTTATGTTGCCTGGCACCTAATCGGAGCGTCCGGTCACTGATAGGGCCACGTCCGATCACCTCTGTCGGGCTCGTTTCCTCGCAATCT